ATCCCCCTGCAACAAAGCACGTCCCCCCAACGCCCCTCTCTCCCTTCCCTACGGCAAGGCCTGCCCACCCCATCACCCCACCCTCCCCCCACCGGGGCAGGACCCACAGACCCTCACCCCCAAACCTGGCAGGGCCTGCAGACTCTCACCCCCACCCCTTCCTCCCGGCAGCTTCTACCAGGACAGCGGCTCTCTGGTGCCGAAGGGCCTGTGGGCCTCGGACTCGGGCGCCTGCACCTGTGTGGCCCACAACCCGCCAGGGGGTTGCCAGGCTGCACGCTGCATGTGCCCGGTGAGCAGCGACTGGGGGTGTGTCTCCTCTGGAGGGTGCTGGCGACACTGGAGCCACGCCCACACTGCCCCCCAGGCTGCAGGTCTGACCCCACCCCCGTGCCTCTCCTTTAAACTAGAGGCCCAACTGCTCCAGCCCAGGGTGTAGGGGAGAGTCGGGGCTGAGGCTGTGTCCCCCCGCAGTGGTCTCTGCCTTCACACAGGGGGAGGCCGCAGCAGCTGCTGGGCAGAAGTCCGGGTCTTGGTGCCGACTCCCAGGATTCCCCGGGAGGGAGGGAGGGGTCCCGGGGCCCACCCTTCCCCCAAAGCCCCTCACTATCCCATTATCCCCTCTGTCTGCTCTCAGTTCCTCCCACCAGCGAGGGCACAGACGACTCAGGGACCCTAGTGAGCAGGCCTGCGAGCCCGCGACCCTGGCGTGCCCCGTGCAGGGCTCCCCACACGTGCCCATGAGCTGGCCCAAGGACGGTCTGCCTGCCGCTGTCCCAGCACACCCACCTCCATGGCTGTGGGTACAACCTCAGGTAGGGAGTGACAGGCAGGCATTGCCCTTTGGTGCAGAACCGACATCCAGGGAATGCCAGCCAATGGGCGGGGTGGAGGCCAGGGCTGGCATGGTTGTGGAGCACACCCCAGCGGCTCATGTCAGGGCGGGCCCGAAGGCCCCAGAGAGGGGTGGACAGGGATAGGAGGGGATGGGGGCTGCAGTCATGTTTCGGGGAGGGAGGGGGATGAGGCCAGAAGATGGGCCCTGGGCTGTGGTGTTGCCATCATCACTGGCGACCTTCGCACGAGCAGAGTAGAGGGAGCCGTCAGGGCTAAAGGAAATTTGGGAGGAAGTGGGAACATAGACCGCAGAGATAGGAGGGGTCATCTTGGAAGGGCAGGTAAGCTGGCCCTGCGAGGCAACTTCTGGAATTTCGGAGACAGGAGGCCTGGCTGCCCAGGGAGATGGGTCAGAGCAGGCAGTGGGGGTGGGGACTCTGGGAGGGGCAGTTTGGGGCTTTATCCTGGGCACTGGGCAGTCAGGAAAGGGATTAAGCAGAGGCTGGACTCAGAGTCACCGTCCCTGGCTTCTAAGCCATTAGGGAGATGGAAAAGGGGCAAGGCACAGTGGCTCGTGCCTGTAATCCCAGCACTTTGGGAGGCCGAGGCGGAAGGATGGCTTGGACCCAGGAGCTCAAGACATCATAGCAAGATGTCATCTCTATTAAAAACAAACAAACAAACAAACAGGCCAGGCTCGGTGGCTCAACCTATAATCCCAGCACTTTGGGAGGCTGAGGCGAGTGGATTGCCTGAACCCTGGGTTCGAGACCCACCCGGGCAACTTGGCGAGACCTCATCTCTGCAGCAAATCAAAAAGATTAGCCGGGTGTGGTAGTGCATACCTGTAGTTCCGGCTACTTGGAAGGCTGAGGCACAAGGATTGCCAGAGCCCAGCAAGTCGATGTTGCAGTGTCTGGGAATGTACCACTGCCCTCCAGTCTGGACAACAGAGTGAGACTCCAACTCAAAAAAAAAAAAGAAAAAAGCAACAACGACAAAAATTATCCAGGTGTGGTGGCACACACTTGTAGTCCTAGCTACTCAGGAGGCTGAGGCAGGAGGGTTACCTGAGCCCACGAGGTCGAGGCTGCAGTGAGCCATGATTGCATCACTGTACTCCAGCCTGGGCAACAGAGTGAGACCCGGACTCAAAAAAAAAAAAGAAAAGAAAAGAAAGAAAAAGAAAAA